CATGGGTTTTATTCGACAGGCCTTATGATGACCGCAACTTTAATATACCGAATCTTCCACTTTCTACATATAACTATTGACATTCGAAACGTCTGTGTGTTCCTGGCGCCGGCTTTTTCAAGGTATGGTTTTTAAAGCATTTATTTTTTTCCAGTTTCACTACTTTCATCACTTTCATGTTGACAAAGGAAGCGACTGACACCCCATCTGCTCTGGTAGCCGCCGCTCTTATCTCAATCGTTCCGGGTTATACCAGTAGATCGGTTGCTGGGTCTTATGACAACGAAGGAATTGCAATTTTCTGTATGCTCCTCACATTCTATTTTTGGATCAAGGCCGTAAACACCGGCTCTATTCTCTTTGCCTCCTTGACTGGACTAGCTTACTTTTATATGGTAAGACTGGATTTTCAACTCAAATTATTTTCAGGTTTCATCGTGGGGTGGCTACGTATTTTTGTTGAACACAATACCGTTGCATGTCTTGGCACTCATGATTTCCGATCGCTTTTCCCACCGAATTTATGTCGCATATTCCATCGTAAGTTCGTTTTATTACGTTTCTGATCAACGTAGTTTTACTGCATTGGAACGCTGCTATCGATGCAAATACCGTTTGTTGGATTTTTGCCGGTCTTGTCAAGTGAACATATGGGGGTAATTGCGCGCGAATATCACATTAATCCATTTTCAGGCATTTGGAGTTTTTGGACTTTGCCAGTTGTTCGCCTTTGCTCAATACATCCAGTCTAAAACTACTAGAGAACGGTTTCTTCAATTACTTCGTCTTGCTGTGTCTACACTAGGGTTCGCTATATGGATAGCAGCCACGGCATTGTATTTTTCAGGTAACCCTCCTTTTGTGTACACTATTTTTATATATGCACATGTATTCGGTATCTTGAAACCTTTAATAACACGAAACTGCATTGTGTGCTATCCTGCATTGTGTCTTAAATGCATTTATATAATTTAGGCATGACCACGCTGCAATGAAACTGGCTGAGTAGCAATAGAAGTTGTCTTAGATTTGTTATAAACATCTGTCTTTTTCATTCCTAAATAATGAATAATTTTCACCTTATTTTTTTTACCTTAAGCCCGTACTAATGTCGGCAACCTTATTAAATTTTGCATAGTAATGCTGGCGTTTTTTAGTTTCCCAATGCAAAAGCATTAAAAACAAATTTTCCCTAGTTTGAAAAAGTTATTGATGCCTACATTTTGTGTAGTGCTACTGTTAACCCTCGCACATTTTAATCTGGGTTAAGGAATTTTAACGTTTGATGGAAGTTGACTACATGTTATTATTTATACATGTTGGTCCCTGTCATTTGTCTTAACTTATAATTATCTTGTTTTATCTAAATTTATTTCACGAAGCATTTTTCGTCTTTATGCAGATACTTTTTCTCCTCTTTTTTTTCCTGCAGAAGTTGTCTACACATGTTTTGTGGGCTTTTCGTAATTTTTTACGCCATAATGTGAGACATGAGCCACAAAAAGCCATTTCCTTGAGTGGCTTAATCAATTTTGTCATCAGGGTTCATTTTGCACGACCTATAAAATGCCTTAGGATATTTAAAACCACGTTTCAGATGGTACTTTTTTCCTTTATGGTTAGGAAATGAATCACATCTTAACTCTAGCTGACAGACAGAGAAGATTTAAAAAATAATTTTATTTTATTCAGTTATCATCTTGATATTTAATAACGTATGTATTTTTTGTTATTTGAACAAGCTCACATTTTTATAAGTGTTTTTTTTCATGAACCTTCGTTCCTCCTAGAAACCTAACCCATTTCATCCTGTGCCCCTGCCGTATATCACAAATTTTAAAAACGCCCCGTTTTTTGTTGCAACCGTCACGTCTGTTTAGGTGGTCTGTATTTCTGTTGGCATCATGTGGTAATTGAAAAGATCGTCTGGCATTATTTCACTACGAGGGCACATAGGCAGCTCGAGTTATGTTTCGGTCCGTTGCTATTTAAACCCCTAAAAATACATACTTCTGTACACATAAGTATGTCTTTTATTTGTAAAAAAAACTTAACCAACTTAATGCCTTCACTGTTGTCAGTAAAAGCGCTTTAGCGTGGGCAACTTATTTGCTGGCTGGCTTCGTGTGACCGAGAATAACATGGTAAACAGTACTGCCTACCGTTCCTTTGGAGATTAAGCTTGCATTAGTTTTCTATTAATCAACTTGAGCACATAGTCATTTATATGTTCCTATTTCTGTTCTTAACCATTTTCTCGATTTATTCAACCTTTTTTAGGCAAGATCGCACCGTGGACTGGACGATTCTACTCTCTGCTCGATCCTAGTTATGCCAAAAATTACCTGCCAATTATTGCATCCGTCTCCGAACACCAACCTACCGCATGGAGTTCCTACTTTTTTGATCTTCACGCTATGACCATCTTCTTCCCGGGTACATTTTTCTCATTTAAATGAATTTGTCTATTGCTCTGTTATACGGTTTAGACAACAGAACTCTTTGCGGTCCTTAAACTCGAAAATTATCATAATTTTGAAGGAGACCCCATCAGAGTCCTAAGTTTTCCTTTCTGTTCGACAGCTTTTTAAAACTATTTTTTGTTTCCGAGTTAAACGGAACGACATCATTTCAGAAAATTTTGACCTTTTTTCTTTTTTTCAGTGGGCCTTTATTACTGTTTTAAAAAACTCACCGATCCCTCCATCTTCCTTATCATGTACGGGATGCTCAGTCTTTATTTCTCTGTAAGTTGCGCCTATTTTTCTAAACCATAAACTGACTTCATTTCCCCGTGATCATGTCTTTATGCCTGTATCGTACAATTTACTTTTAATCGACTCGTTTAGGGCCTTTTGGCTATTCGTACTTTACTGAAACGCCTCATCTTGTCCTGTCTAGAAGGGGTCTTAAACCATTGTCATTATATGCTCAATGGTCGGCTGCTTCCTGGTTATCACACGCTCCATAATTCTTCCATTCTTTTCCTCTTTATTTCCTAGGGCGTAATGGTCCGGCTTATGCTTGTGTTGGCTCCTATTATGTGCATCTTATCGGGCATTGCTGTCTCCAACATATTCCGCGCATTCATTCCAAATATTGAGGACTCGAAACCTACCTCGGCGGATAGCTCTATCCAAAAACGCCTATCCACTTCTGCCAAGTCCTCCAAGACCGTCTCTGATCCCACATATCCCTTTAAGAGTCAAGTAAGCCATACTATCAGTTCTGTTCATCTCTTAGTTTCCCTTGCCCACACAGCAGCCGTATATTTATTTTTGCTGTGCAAATAAGATTTTCAGTTAGCATTTATACAAGAGGTGAGCTACCCTCATGGAACGGCTACCAGAGCTGTTTACAAAAGGTTCACTTTTATTGAGGCAAACGCCTTTGAGGTTCTGTTGTATCCCACCCGAAGACCTTTCTGTCTGGAGAGAAAACCCTAGTCACTGGGTAACCTGCCCTCTATTTAAAGACGCTAGCCATCATCGCATTTCGTAATTTCATTAGTTCTTTCTGCTTGAATCCGGACAATTTTTCCTGGTTCTTTTAATAACTTAAGCCGTTTTGCTCTAAATTTGTCATCAGTTTGGTTGAAAGCCTGCAATCTAGCTACCATCTTGCCTCCTCGGCGCGTTAGGAAATTTATTATCCCTACCACTAGGCTTGTGCTGTGATCTTCGTAACAGACGCATAACACCACGCCGTTTACCGCTTTCACCATCCTTTCCTTTTCCATCTTTTTGCTTCGGGTGTTAACTGTGACTGCACTAGATCATGTAAATTCTGCCTCATTGTGAGAACTACTTTATTGGCTCTTAGCGATTAGGTTTTGCTTTTCCAGGCGTTTTCTTCTGGCGTCTGCTGTTAATCAGTCTTTCCCTTTCAGCTTATAAGCTGTCCGATATCTGTTGATGCTTCAAAGCTCCTCCTCTAGAAGTCTTTACAATTTGTCAGTGGCGCCTCATCTGTGCCGATCGAAATTTCTCCTTTTATATATATTCGGCACGCGTTAAGCCTTTGTCTATATTAACGGGGGCTGGAGAACGTGTGGCTCTTACATCAAACTGCGCAGTTGTGTCAGGCCTAGTTTGGAGACATACATATATTTGGCACACAGAAGGCAGAGCTTTTATGCCACGCCAACTATTCGTGATCAAATCTTCATTCGGCTTGATTTCAGATTGCCACTGGTTCGCGATCTTCAAAGTAACAGGGAGTTAGGCCGATGTTGTTCGAAGCAACGATGCTCTTCCTTATATTTTAACTCGTTTGCGGTCATATACATCGCAGAAACTTAATTACCGGTTAAAGTCGGAATATCACTCACCCTGTCGTCCTTGTAGAAACTGATGTTCGGCTACAGTCCTCGTTAGCACAGTTTATTTGCTTCCCGCTTGCGTATAGTCAGA